ACGACCGCAGTTTCGCGCACAGCCGTCATCATGTTCATATCAGAGACGGGTCTCACCTTCACCAACTGCAGGCCGCGGCAAGGCCATCGTATGCAGCGGTAATCGTTATTGCGATTTACAACTAACCTGTGTGTTCACGACTTACCATTTACGATTTCTCGACATCGATGTGGATGCGAGCAACGGATCTTTTGTCACGAACGTGCGCCACAACCCTGCTAATGCTGGTAAATGCACACACCCGGCTAGCGATTGTCTAGAACGTTACCGCACGGCTGCCATTCGTCCGTTTTACGTTTTTCGTTTTTTTCTAAAATATTGCTCCAGCTGGTCCAGCATGTACCACTAGCTTGAGCGGTACAAGCAGTTGCTCGTTGTTAACAGCCAGTAGAAAGCGAAATTGACGAAGAGATTAAGTACGCCTTGAATCGATGAAACCAGAGCTCACTCGGCAAGAAGCCGGAGGATCAGTTATCGACCCATTCTTCGGTGTGCATTTTTATTTCAGCTGATTGACACATGCTTGGTAAGGCCTTTCCCAGCTGGTACATGCTTGAGTCTCGAAGGGTGGCCAGGCTAGCATGCATTTTAATAAACCAGGCCCACTAGTTTATGCCAACCTAGTGCCGCGGAAGCCAGATATAATGCGGTGACATCCACCTGTTTCCGCGGTTTGGCATCCATGTGTGGGTGTTTCACATCTACATAATTTGTATTGTCAACCTTTCTACGGCCTCCGCACGAACCTGATGCAGGTAGCATTGAACGGAGAGCGTGCAAGGCCATTGGCAAACCGCACTCGGGGTTCCGACCATGCGTTTTGGCGAAGAAGAAGGGGAATCTCAGCATGTCTGTTTTCACACGACTGGGGATCGGACGGTGACCAGACCACTCTCCACTTCGTGAACCAGGACTGGTTTTTGAAAAGCCATTCAGAGTGCCGCATTCCAACGCAGTATGATGACGACGGCCACAGGTTTAAAGTACATTTCAGTGGCATGCCTTGCACATAGTTCCATCGCATAAAACGTCATGTAATCGACACATCTTGTGCGGTGTGTGTTATGATGAAAGAGGCACGGGTGCAGTTTCTTTTTCAGTAGGGAGCGGGGCTCTGGCAGCATTTACCTACCATTTCCTTTCAGTTAACAACATTATGACGTTGAGAGGGCCGTGCAAATTTTTGGTCCCTTTAAATCGATATTATTTCCTGAACCCATCTTAACAGAAGCCAGAGTATGTCTGTCGTGTTCAATTTGCTTATGTCTTGATGAACAGGATTTCAAGGCTTTTTGTTTGAATGTTTAATATTTTGTTGTTGTTTCTGTTGCTGAATTCCTTTGCCTTGCTTTTTGCTTAAAATCCCGTGGAAGGGGGGTGCAAAGTGAACCGTTAAAACATTGGTGTTGCATTGTTATTGATGCTCACTACGCTTTTGTGAAATTACTATTCTTTAATGCATTCTGTTTCACTGTGATGACCTTCAATGTAAAGACAAAAACATTTTTGTCATGTTTCTGGCATTACGCCCATGCGCATTGAAATGTGTGCCTTTGATCGCTGGAGCATCTCTCACTGACTCATAAGCTCCAAATTTTATCAACTGAGTTTTCATTCCAATCATTCCATTCACGCAATTTCATTGACATGGAATTGCGCGATCGGATGGTAGAGGTCAGGGCTCACTCAACGAGCACCGCTTAGCGTGAGCTCTGCTCCCGGAAATCCATCCATTCAAAGGGTTCGGATCAAATCTTTAAAAAAATTCCCGCACGGTTGTTTTGCGATGGAATTTTTCAATTCTACCTTAGATCAAAAGCGACTTTAGATGACTGAATAGATGTAGATGCCTCCCTCCAGCGTGCATCAAACACTTTCCATGTCCTTAACAGCGCAGAGCCAACGGCAGCCGGCAGCCACGCAGAGTGATGACATTAGTACGTCGGCACAGGAAAAATAATTTTAATCAAACCCATCGATTGCAACTGTGCGCATGCGGTGCCGCTGGCAGAAGGCTATCAGCTTTCCATACAACACACACGTCAGACTTTTGCTTTGGCTTTATCCGGTCAACCCCAGCATAGTATTACGGAATACTTGCAGGCCGGCCGTAGCGGTGGTCTGCAGACACGACGTCTGGCTTTATGTACTATCAGTCGTGCGCGGAAGGTGCGAACTTGCGCACAGGATGCCAACGTGAGAGCACTGTCGGTCGGTCAGAGGCAAATTTCTTATCGATCGACGGTACCTTTTTTGTTTAAATCATCCATTTGCGGCGCTTGGCCAACTACGGCAGGCTGTGAATAGAGTAAAGGCCAGAATACGGCGGCCCGAGAAAATATCTATAGTCAATATCACACCTTGCGGCAATTTGTATTCCAAACCACTGGTATGGGGCCTTCAGCTGTCAAGACGATATACTCGTTAGATTTTGGTATCGATTTCATTCAGTTAGCGTGTCAATCATCAATGGCTGGCCGGTCGGAGCTGTGGGTAGGTGGTCGCTAGGAACGACCATTTGCACAGATACGGCGTCCAATTCGAAATATTTACACTTGTGCGCTGAAGCTGCAACCTCGCGCACACGACGTCATTGTGGGAGCACTATCGGCCGGTGTGGTAAGTCACGCCTCCGCCAAATCGACCTTTTGTCTTCATATCACCCGCTGACAGCGCAGAACTAACGGAGGCCCTTTTGTCTTCATATCACCCGCTGACAGCGCAGAACTAACGGAGGCCCTTTTGTCTTCATATCACCCGCTGACAGCGCAGAACTAACGGAGGACCTTTTGTCTTCATATCACCCGCTGACAGCGCAGAACTAACGGGGGCGGACTGCACAGAAAACATTGACGTAATGCGTGGGCCCGAGAGAAACACTTATAATAAAGCATAAAAATGCATACGGAAAAAATAAACATAAAGATATCTACTGGATGCATGCGATGCCACTGGCATAAGGCTATCAGCTGTGAGTGCAACACGCACGTCAGATTCTAGCTCCGACTTTTTCGATCGATCCGCCGACCGCAATGGCAGTGATCACCGGACGGCTGCAGGCCGGTCGGAGGGGTGCATAACACAGGTACCGCGTCAAAGCCTGCACACAAAATGGTGGTCATAGTGGGGTGGACAGGCGCAATACTTATAACAAAATCCAGTTATTTGGACTGCGTGCATTCGATGGCGCTGATATAGGGCTATTAGCTGTCGGTACAACACAAGCACCGCTTCTTTGCTCATCTGAATAAGTAGGACCGTGTCCGCAGATGAGAAATTTACCTTGCCGGCCGATGGTCCTCCCACAACAGCATGTTTAGTTTCGCAATCAGAACAACAATAGGAGGGTTGCGCCTTTCACGCGCAAGTAATAGTATGTCGCTGTCACGGGGAGAGGGGAGGGATCGACTGAATAACACCGGAACAAAAATCTAACGATTGCATTGAACTGGCAGCTGATAGGCTTGTACGCTTGCTATCGAATGTACGCAGTCGAAATATTCAAGTTTGCCTGTAATCATTTTTCTCGGGCCGCCGTATTATGGCCGTAGCTCCCCGTGCACGCCGTCTGCCATTAGCTCAGCACTGTTAGTGGGTGACTTGAACAAATAAAGGTGGATTCGGCCGATGCCGGACTCACATTGCCGGCCGATAGTGCTCCCATGATTCCATCGTGTACGCAAGGTTGCACCTTCAAGTATTCAATTGGACACCGTATCTGTGGAAATCACTACTCCATCCGGCACGCAAGCATTGAGCGGTGCACTGTCAGGTGGTCGACCGAAAAAAGGCGAGACAAAATCGCTGCCCTGTTAATAAGAATTTGAACAAAAAGCGTCACGTCTCTCGATGAAAGATTTACATTCCTAGCCGATAGCGCTTCAACAGTGACATCGTCAGCACAAGGCTACACCGCCATGCACAAGTAAACGTATTTCAATTTGGACTCGTATGGATGCAAATTCCTGCTCCGGTAGGAACGGCAGCATTGTGTGATTCCTTCCGGGGAGTGACCGAACAAAATATCAGGCAAAATCTGACGGGCATGTTACGTGCAAACGACAATAGAAGAAATGGTGCATTGCTAGCGGCCGGCCTCCACGTTGAGTGACGGCCATCACACGGTGGCCCAGGAAAGTGGCACACTCGCACGTATTTTAGTTTCAGCTTTATTCGGGTCCGTTAAAGGTCTGCCACCGTTTCAACAATAGTTTGTCAGGTGCTTTATAATTTCACAAAAAACCGCATTAACACTGGCGTTTAAATATTTGCATGCACTGCCCTATTGAACATCACGCCATACCAACGATTCCCGCGCTGGAGGCTTGAAGGTTTCCTCCATTGGGGGGGGGGGGAGGGGGGGGGGCAAATAGAGCACTGCCTAATAAAGCCTTCTGAGGGAAAAGGCCACGCCACTTCATCGCTTAAGTGACCGTTCTGAATTCGGACCACCTAGCTCTAGGTTCCGGCTCCCATTTTGAAGCACGAAGGGCCCGTTTTTATGTTTTAGAAGCCCTATCAACGCCCTAAATGGCGAGCGCGTATAGCACCATCGGTCTCAAGGGAGCGGGGGGAGGGGGGGGGGGGGAGCAAAGCTTCCAGAATGGACACACTTCTCCATTCCTATTTCACTGCAGCGCAACAACCGTGGTACTACTATAAGTCGGCAGTGTTAGAAATTCGATTGCGGCGACGGAGGGTCAGGAGGCCAGTGAAGGTGCCTCATGCGGCTTCACGCCCCCTTCCTCACTGAATGTTGAGTTCAGTTTCTCATCATGAAGCTACACAATGTAACCAGAAAATCACTATAATCCTGTCTTGATCATCACAGTGTGGTGATAATGATAATTACTCCACTTTGTACTTGATTGACTTGTATGGGCAGTAACCCGCTGTACTCATTAGCAGTAAATTAGTAGCACTCTCACCGGTAAGCCGGCTGGACACATACGGTACGCAACTGCGACGGTTTCAGCGCGAGGGCCAAAGGGCAAACCAAAGTTTGCTTGAGGGCTGAGTCATGCACGTCGTACTCAAATAAAGGCGGTGCAAACCAAGGTTGATATCCATTAATGCCAACACGTTAGGTACTGTACCTATTTAAGCGTCTGTATTGTATGTAGTCGGTTTGCAGTGCATAGGTGCTGTTAGTCGGGGGCGGAAGTCGACATTAAAAATCCTATCCGCCGTCACAAATCATGGTAACCCATCGCAAACCCACTGTCGTAAATCCTGGTTGCATCCCTGCCGTATGGTTGCAGTCAGATGGTTGGGGTGGTGAAAAGCAAATTTGTGTGCATCATTAATCATGGGCAGGTTAACAACCATGTCAAAAACATTTTGAGTATATAGCATGTGGACTGCATAAAATACATGTGCTGAACATATCTGCTGTAGCAGAACATCCCAGCAGTATTTGCAATGCATATACAGCCACCTTGATTCTGTCACTCCTTTTACATCCTCTTACCCCGTTGAAACCCCTCAGAACTTATCTGATTGTTCTCATGGCTCCTCCATCTCACCTGAGTTCCTCACAGCTTGCTGCTAACCTTCCTTAACCTCCTCCTAAATGAATAGAGTGTTTGCAGATGATTTTGGGGAGGCCTGAGATATAAATTATTGGTGCAGTGTATTTACATGCTTTTTGGCACTATTTTGTTGTTACATAACAGGAACAGATAGGTGGTGGTTAACATAATGCACAGGTTTATATGCTAGGTGCAGACATTTATGTTTATGTGTCAATTCTACCTTGTGTTAAATTAATACTCATATGCTTATGTTGTTATCCATAGTTACTATTTGAATGCATTTTTCAAAATAATTAAAATGTCCAATGTTACTCACAGTCAGTATGTTGAAACTGTGTAGTCAAGTTGCACTTACACTACTGATGGCCTTTTCCAAAATATTTCAGTGAGTGCAGATTTCAGCTTTAGTGATTCCAGAGCACTCCTCTAGTCTTGTTCAAGTTCACCCATTCCTTTTTGGTGGAGTGACAGGAACAGACCCGCTGCAAATCCAAGAGCAGCATGTTTGACAAATGGTTACCACCATCTCAGCTCATTAGAGCTAATATGTCAAGGAATTGTAATGTTGCTGAACTAGCTTCCCTCCAAATACCTGATCAAAGTTTCTTAAAACAAGATTGACAAGTTTCAGCACTATCTGGCCTGCCTGAGGTGGGCCCACAACATTTGATGTAATAGGTTTTGTGGGCAAACAGGCAGGCATTGCAGGCATAATGCATCCACTGACACTGATATTGGGTGATTTTCTGCATATTCAATCTTTAGAAAATCACAGGGCCTTTGCCAGTGGAACACAAGACTACTTGAATGAGGTTTGAGTTTCCACCAATGTGACACATGTAGCTGGGATCTAGGCCTGTTATGTTTCTTTCCAGGAAAGTATCACAATTCATGTGCTGTAGAGTAATGCAATTTGGATTGAAAGAAAGTAGCTGTTGAGCCCAAGACAAACATTAGTAACAGCATTCCAAAATTTGTCCAGTTGGACATGCAGGGTGTAAATATAAATTTGTGCCACATAAGTCCCAGCTGACTGGCAGCCACTGCATGCACTTTGTTGACATTTATCTGTTGCCCTTTGACCTTCTTGACCTCTGACATTTGACCTCTGACATTAATCTGTTGACCTTTGACCATTAATCTGTTGCCCTTCAACCCAGACATCTGTCCCACCCAGCCAATTTTTTCAAGTCTGAGGCACTGAGGCACAAGATACTGGGTCGACAGCCACCCAGCTTGATGCTGATGGGCTGATTTTGGGCAAGGGGGGGGGGGGAGCAACAGGCAGTAAACCCCAAGCTGGAGTGTACAGCATGACAAAATATTGACATCCCTGCCATCCAAGTGGCTGAATATTTGAACACAGATGTACAACAATATAAGTGTTATGGGCTGCACCCATGTATGGTTCATGGTGCAGACATTCATGATGTAGCCAAAGGAATGACCTATTGAATGCTGCTGTGGTCACTTAAGGTAATTGGCATCCTTAAGTCAGATAAAATCATGCTCTGTGGAAAAACAGCTCATCATAAGGTTTTGAAAGCAATGTGAGCATTTTGTGAGGTCAGAGCTATATGCATGCCATATTCATGGCCACCCCTTCAAATAAAGGTTGCTTTACCACACAAAACCACCAAACTCAAAGTCACATTTTACATCATATGACGTGAATCTGGTGATGCTCACCAGAAAACTAAAGAGATAGTTCATTAATGATAGCCATGAACTGCATGTAGCATCCACACTTGTCCTCTCAAATGAAGGCTGCACAGTTGAGCCAGGGTCACAAAATTCATAAATTCAAAAAAATCCAAATTCCTGCTCCAAAAAAAACGTGGCTCTCGATATGTGAAAGGCGACTCCCAATTCTGAGCAAGGGCCTCTCAGTTCATAATGGTTCAAAGTTGGGGCCTCCTGGTTCATATTGGGGCCCTCCTTGCTCATAAAAGGGTAGTTCATAAAAACCTCCTAGTTCATAAAAACCCCTAGTTCATAAAAGGGCCTCCTATTTGATAAAAAGGCTTCCTAGTTCATGAAATGGCCCCCTAGTTCATAAAAGGGCCTCCTAGTTCATAAAGGGTCCTCTTAGGTCATAACAGGGACCTTTTAGTTCATAGTCAGTGGCCTCCGAGTTCATCACGGAGACCTCTTAGTTTATGCGGCAACCTTCCGAGCCAGGAAAAGGACTCCTTAACCCGAAACTCGTTTCTGATTTAGCGCATGGGCCATACAATTCATAAAGGCGTTCTCATGATCCGTAAACGGGCCTCAATCCAGGAGAGAGCCTCCCGCGCCCGATTGAGTACCCTCCTGCTCAGTTATAGGGCCTGTTTAATCTAAATTTTTGTAATCTATGTGAGCTACAAAGCCTTTGTTTGGGCAAACGAGGCCCCCAAAAAATTTTAAGGGGCAAAAGCGTATTTTGACCCGTGCTTGCCGGCAGGGGGCGCAATCCCTCGCCCTGCGGCGCTGCCCCAACCCAAACCAAAGCCGGGTCATCAAAGGATACTTTCCCGGATGCCTCGTGGATCCGCTTATGGGAGTCAGAAATTTTCAAAATACGTGGCAATTGGTGATCTGCTTATGCCATATCTGTAGGTATGAAACCTCACTTCAATCAAGCGTCAGCTCTCGATACTGCCACACTTGTGAATTCGCATCCGTGAATACCGCCAGCTGTGACGGCCCGCCTGTCACCAGCGTCAGGTGTGACTGTCAGTGCTAACACCATCTGACTGTGCTGTCAAGAACAGTCAGCCGCAGCCACATTCTTGTATGTATTTATCTGTTAAACGGCCAACATGCTGTAGCACGTTTCGCTTCTTTAATGTGCGATCTCCATCCCAAGTTTCCAGTCATTTGTCGGACTAGTACAGTCATTTTATCCGTGTGTATGCATGATATTGACATTGTTAGTTGTCAGGATCTCCGCTCCTGTACCTGCAAATCTTCATCTTCGCTGGTTGTCCTGTTTTCTCGCAGGCAGTAGCGTCACAGAGTGACCATGATGAAGATGCCAGCCGGCGTTCGTCGGTTCTTCTCCAACCGCCTGGTGCGCGTCGGTGGACCGTTCGTTGCCATCCTTGTGACTGGGTCGTTCGCTCTGAAGGAGTTCTCCTCCATCAGGTGAGCCATCCAGGGTTGTCCTCCGTAGGACGTCTCACGCGAAGGAGCGTTCCCCAGTTGCGGTGCTTGACGTTGATCCCAATCTTCCCAATAACTATCCAACCAATCAGTCAATCAACCCAATCTTCAGACTGACGTCCGCCTGGCGCTGGCGGCTGGTGCTAGTAGCGGCGCCACGTAATCAGCCACCAGCGGCGTCCGCCCTGGCGCTGGCAACGGGTGCCGGTAGCGGCGCCACGTGATCAGCCACCAGCGGCGTCCACCCTGGCGCTGGCAGCGGGTGCCGGTAGCGGCGCCTGTGTGGCGAGTGCGCTGCCATAATGTCCAAGACCCTCAGTGGCCGGTGACAGGGCAACAGAGCATACGAGAAATTATAGCATGGGAAAAGGTAAACGAAATATCGCAAGAAAAGGGCGCATGACGAAAGGTGCTAAGCAAATGAGCGCAAGAAAAGGCCTCGAAAGGAAGGGATTGTCAGGGAAGCGGTCGATGTCCGTAAAAACATTGCAGATCGTAGCAAAAACAGGCGATTTCAAAGTCGCCAGTAAACGATTGTATGAAATTAAGATCGTCTGGAGAAACATTATCAGGAACAATTATCGTACTTCAAATAATCATAGAAGTCGTGCGTACTGCCATACGCAAAATATCGCATCGAGTGAAAATGAATGATGTTTTTCGTGCATGGTTGAAGGGAGTGATCCACGGTTGTATGAGGTTTTGAACAGAAATAGCCATCTTGAAGACCATTGGCGCAGTTTATGGCCCTGCCGCTCGTAAGACATAAAACCCTGTAGTTTTTGAACTTCTGAGCTACGTGTCCGCGAAAATGTGCAGAAGTTGTGTGCTGATTAATGCAAGCTCACACAGGCATCCATGACGCCATGATAACGTCATTCAAACTTTGCCATTCCATTGTGCATGCGGCGGCCAAGACCAATGAAATATTCTGGTTGATTCGTTCATATCTGCGTTCGCGAGCACCATTTCCGGATGTAACGACCGTCAACTGGCTTCCATGCAGTGTTGTGCAAGGGTCGATTACGTAATTAAACAATGACGAATTGACGAACATACTAAATAGAGAAATTGTGTGGTCTAGAATGTTTTCCCACTTAAAAGATTACCAGTAGCTATGAGTTGAGCTTGGTTTACCATAGCTGATGCTTGTTTCAATATCTTCAAATGTGTAACATTCCCTTAAGTGATAGCGCCAAAACATACGGTGAAGGTTTAAAGAAAGGTAGCTAGGTAGCGTACCTGCCCTGAGCGCAGCCAGTCTTCGGAAAAGCAAGCGAAAGCGCCGGATATTGCTGCATACTTGGGTTCAGTGGTCCTAGGCACCCGTCGGAGGTGAAAGGGTAGGTTTAACTTTTGAGTGGTATACGTATTGATAGCGTCTAGTCAGCACGTCGCTGTCGCGCGGCGTCACATTTGTCTTCAATCATACTTTCCTCGAACCAGAGCCATATCTGGAAGCGCTGACTTGTGACATGCGATGTTCTGTCACAGGACGTTTTGGGGGGTGCACGAGCTCGCGCAGACCTCTTCGCCCGAACACGCCACATCGTCACCATGCCATCTTTACCCCGTTACCGCAGCGGACACGTATGGGCGCTAAATGACCGTTACAGTCAGCGTGCCCGAGACCCATTATGATAGGTCAGAACTTTGAGCAGGCACATGACGCTCGTACGTTCAACTTCATGCGTCGTTTTTGTTGAAAATTGCTTCCACAATATGACCTTCTTGACTTGACCCTCAGCGAGACACCCTTTTACTATTATTACGCGGCTATTACTACTGCCTTATCTATGTGCGTAAAGTCTCTCGCAAGTACACTTAACAATTCACGTAATTGTTTTAATGTGGATAAACTTGTTTATGTTGGTGACGTGGTCCAACGCTAAAAAGCAATGTAAAACAAGGGTGTATGGTATAAAGTGGTACAATTGAAACAGCTTTGATGTAATACAACACAAGCGCTGAACATCTGTTTCAAACCTAGCCGTTATCGATTATTTTCTGAAAATGTTTTTAGTTGATTTCGCCACGTGATAGCCACACGATCACGTTTGACCGCCGCAGAAAAGCCATTAATTATTAACACCAAAGTTTTGTCCTTTCTTCAGCGGCTTCAGCGCCACTTATTCCACTCTCCAATCAGACAACTCACGTGCACCTCGTGGCGCAGCTCTCAGGCCAACATTACGGGCAACGGCAGATTCGCCCGGCACGTACCGATGACGTCACGGGACCACGTGACGTAACGGTCAAATCACCGGGTGGCCGCACATGCATGCAGAGTCTAGCCAAGCACCTTCCCCGCCGTCCAGCGCCACGGCTGTAGAAGCGCAGTGTAGTGGCGTTGTCAGTGGCGGGGCTGTAGTTCATGCTGACAGTAGCGCATAGACGTCCATGAATGAGAGGTCATGACATTGTGTGGGTGCATCGGAAATCAGAGTGGCGCAGGGAGGATGGCAGATGTCACATAGCGGCACGGTGGAATACAGGCGGAAGAGTTTCGCTGGACATCACTTGGTCACTCTTGACTCTCCGGTAGAACTGTGTTTGCCATTTTCCGTGGGCGGAGGGGGCACAACGGGCCAAAAGGCTGTCCGTGTCTTTGGGGTGGGCGGTGTCGCTGATGAAAAGAGACCCGGAAAGTTTCCGATTGGGCCTTTTGGCCTACTCTTAAGCTGTCGATGTTGAGCCTGTCAGCGCCCGCTTGCGTGCAGTCACGTGGTCCCTGAATTGTGTGCTCTGCGTGATCACGAGGTGACGCGGGACGCCACCTGATGCAACATTTCGTTTCTCAGGTGCGCGTCTTGCGCTCTTTCAGTGCTCGCACAGCTGGCTCGGGGTTTCATAGGTGACACTCGGTGTGTGATGCCCGCGATGCAGGCCGCTTGGGTAGGTGCTGATGGCGGGTGCACAAGCTTGGGTAGGTGCTGATGGCGGGTGCACAAGCACCTCTCACCACAGGCACGTCCGCCTGCCCTCCCGAAACCTCGCCCGCTCTCACCACAGGCACGTCCGCTGCCCTCCCGAAACCTCGCCCGCTCTCACCACAGGCACGTCGCCTGCCCCCGAAACCTCGCCACTCTCACCACAGCACGTCCGCCTCCGAACCCCCCCTCTCACCAAGCCGTCGCCTGCCTCCCCTCGCCCGCTCTCACCACGCACTCCGCCTTCCCTCCCTAACACCTCGCCCGCTCTCACCACAGCACGTCCCGCCGCCTCCCCGTGCCCTCAACAACCTCGCCCGCTCTCACCACAGGCACGTTCCGCCTTGCCCTCTCCGAAACCTCGCCCGCTCTCACCACAGGCCAAACGTCGCATGCCTCTCCCGACAAACCTCGCTCCGCTCTCACCACAGGCACGTCCGCCTGCCCTCCCGAAACCTCGCCCGCTCTCACCACAGGCACGTCCGCCTGCCCTCCCGAAACCTCGCCCGCTCTCACCACAGGCACGTCCGCCTGCCCTCCCGAAACCTCGCCCGCTGATGGCGAACTTCACGCGCGCATCCGTCCCACTTCCACCCACGGAAGATGACCAATGCCATGTAGTACGGGATGACCTGTCGGCTTGTCGACATGTGTCGGCCGAGTTGAGACGGTCTGTGGTCCGCACCCTCAGACTACAGCTTCCCTCGAGGTCAGCCCCTTCGGCTTGCGGACGTTCTCTGTGTGCTGATGAGAAGTTGGCGGAAGTCCGAGACCGGCCGACTGCTGGCCTGTCATCCATCAGTCTGCTGGAGACGAGGCGGCCTTCATTGCTCGGGAGTCGTGAATACGACCATGTTGGGCTGCAGGCCAGGGTTATCTTGTCACGTGTGCTGGGTCAGGGTTGTCTCCCCATCTGTGCTGTAGGTCAGGGTTGTCTCCCCATCTGTGCTGTAGGTCAGGGTTGTCTCCCCATCTGTGCTGTAGGTCAGGGTTGTCTTCCCGTCTGTGCTGTAGGTCAGGGTTGTCTCCCCATCTGTGCTGTAGGTCAGGGTTGTCTCCCCATCTGTGCTGTAGGTCAGGGTTGTCTCCCCATCTGTGCTGTAGGTCAGGGTTGTCTCCCCATCTGTGCTGTAGGTCAGGGTTGTCTCCCCATCTGTGCTGTAGGTCAGGGTTGTCTCCCCATCTGTGCTGTAGGTCAGGGTTGTCTTCCCGTCTGTGCTGCAGGTCAAGGTTGTCTCCCCATCTGTGCTGTAGGTCAGGGTTGTCTCCCCATCTGTGCTGTAGGTCAGGGTTGTCTCCCCATCTGTGCTGTAGGTCAGGGTTGTCTCCCCATCTGTGCTGTAGGTCAGGGTTGTCTTCCCGTCTGTGCTGCAGGTCAAGGTTGTCTCCACAGCTGCGCTGCAGGCCAGGGTTGTCTCCCCATCTGTGCCGCAGGTCAGGGTTGTCTCCACAGCTCGCTGCAGGTTTGGGTTGTCTCCCCAGCTGTGCTGCAGGTCAAGGTTGTCTCCCCATCTGTGCTTGTAGGCCAGAGTTGTCTCCCCAGCTGTGCTGCAGGCCAGGGTTGTCTCCCCAGCTATGATGCAGGTCAGGGTTGTCCGCCTAGCTGTGTTGCAGGTCAGGGCTATCTCCCCAGCTATGCTGTAGGCTAGGGTTGTCCTTACAGCTGTGCTGCAGGTCAGAGCTATGTGCCCAGCTGTGTTGTAGGGCAGGGTTGTCTCGACAGCTGTGCTGCAGGTCATGGTTGTCTACCCAGCTTTGCTGTAGGTCAGGGTTGTCTGCTTAGCTGTGTTACAGGTCATGGTTGTCTCCCCAGCCGTGCTGCAGCTCAGGGTTGTCTCCCCAGCTATGTTGCAGTCAGGGTTGTTCCCCAAGCTGTGTTGCAGGTCAAGGTTGTTTCCACAGCTGTGCTGCAGATCAGGGTTGTTTCCTCATTTGTGCTGCTTATTAGGGTTGTCTCCCCAGCGATACTCCGCTGGTTGTCATGGATTTCATTTCAGCTCGCTGGTTTGCTGCATGGCCTACAGCAGTCGATGCGCCCTAACCCCCCCACCC